ATTGTTGCTATTGTATAAATTCTTCTCTTGGTTCTGTTCACTTCACTCTGCATAGGTTCATACAAACCTTCCCAGGTTTCTCTGAAACCACCTCCTTCATAATTTCTTATAATACCTAAGTATTCCATCATATTCCTATACCATAATTCAGTCAGCCATTCTCTGATTGATGGACACTCCCTTAGTTTCCAATTCTTTGCCACTCCCCAAAAGCTACTATAAATATTTTTGTACATATGGGTCCTTTTTCTCTTTCTTTGATCTCTTTGGAATGTAGACCTAGTGGTGTTATCCCTAGTGGTGTTATGCAAAAGGGTTTGCCCAGTTTAATAACTTTTTGGACATGGTTTCAAATTGCTTTCCAGAATAGCTGGGCCAATTCACAGCTCCACTAATAGTGCATTAATGTACCTGTTCTTCCACAACTCCTCCAGCATTTGCCTTTTTCCTATTTTGGTAAACTTTTCCAATCTAATGAGTGTGAGATTTGTTTTAATGTGCATTTCTTTAACAATTAGTGTTTTTAAAGCATTTTTTTCATATTGCTATTGATAGCTTGGATTTCTTCCTCTGAAAACTGCCTGGTTATAGCATTTGACAATTTTTCAATTTGTGGAATGGCTCTCATCCTTAAAAATGTAATCAGTTGCCTATATATCTCAGAAATAAGACCTTTATCAGAGAAATTGACTGCAAAGATTTCCCCCCATTTACCTACTTTTCTAATTTTAGTTGCATTTTTGTTTGTATATTTAAAGCTGTGATCATTAATTTTGTATTTCCCTCTATCCTATTCTCTTATATTTTTCCTTCTCTTTATTTCCTACTCCCTCTTTATAAAGAAGAAGGTGATGAGAAAGAAGTGTGGTCAGCATAGGTTTATAGATTTGGTACAATCTGCTTCTGTTTCCTTGTCCCTCTTCTCTTTACCTCACCTAGAGCCCAATCCCAAATTCTTATCTGTTCTTTCAAACTCCTCTTTCAGATCCTCCCTAATTTGATTTTTTTTCTTAGGACTAATCCTTTCTTTAATCTGCTTTCTCTTTTTTTCCTTCCTCTCTTTTCTCCCCTTTCCTTTCTGTTTCCCTGTTGAATGAAACATATTTCAGTCTCCAACCGTGTGTGTATATATTTTCCCGTCCTTTGACTAGTTCAGATGAGAGTGAGGTATAAGTGTTGTCTGCTCCCCACTTCCTCTTTGTATAGACTTATGCTTGCACACTCAGATTATGTAAAATAATTTCTCTTCTCCTTCCCTCCTCCCAAATGTATTTCTCTTCCCTTCCCTTTCTATTCTTTTAAAAATCATCAAAGCATAACAAAACCACTCTCAGGACCTCTGACTGACCAGACTCTCTTTATGACTCCTGATGATAAGACTTTGAGGGGATACAAGTATCATCTTCCCATATTACAATGTAAGCAGTTTGTCCTTGTTTATTGCCTTATGATTCTTTAATTGTGTCTAGCTTTTTATATTTTTTTAACTCCTATGTTTGAACTTCAAAGTTTCTACACAGCTCTAGTCTTTTCATCTGGAATAATTAAAAGTCCTCTATTTCATTAAAGATCCATCCCCCCCCATAGGATTATACTCAGTTTTGCTAGGCTATTCTTGGTCGTAAGTCTATTTTTTTTTTTTTGCCTTCAAGATATCATATTCCAAACTCTCTACTTTTTTTTTTTATAGTGGTAGCTGCTAACTTGGGTGTGATCCTGACTATTGCTCCTCAGTCCTTGAATTCTTTCTTTCTGATTGTTTGTGGTATTTTTTTTTTAAATCTGGAAGCTCTGGATTTTGTCTCTACCATTACTGTATTTTGAAGTTTAGGAAGTGACCAGTTAATTCTTTCATTTCTTTTCTAATTTTTCCTCTAGTGACATTTCACTTGTAAAAACATTTTATTTTTTGAAAAGCAACTCTTGTTTCATCTCTACCAGATATTCTAGTTAAACTTGTGCCCAAGCTGTGTTTTTCTTCAAATCTTTTCTTGTAGATATTTTGGAGTCATTCTCTTCTTCTGGGTTTGTGTCGACCATCCCTGTAACTACAACAACTCTTTACGGTGGGATTCTTTTTTTTTTTTTTTCTTTGTTCATTCTTGCAACATACTTACTGACTTGGTTAGAGCCAGGCTCTGTGCACTTCTGGAGATAATGTCTGAATTGAGTTTTTGAGTATTGTGTTATTCTAGGATTTCAGGGACAATTCAGGTTGGAAACCTACAAGCTTTCAGTGCTCCCACAGTGGTCTGATACAGGTCTGATCACCACCCTTTTTGTTTGAACTCTGTAAGCTCCTGACCTTGGTTTGGGTCTGAGCAACATACCTATGGGCTTGCCCCTGGTTGGAGTTCAGTAGACTGTTGCTGAACTCAGTCAACTGGAAAACTTTATTGGTTCAGTGACAGAACTGTAGGCTTTGGTCTGGGTTTCCCTCCCTGGTTATTTGACTGCAGGATTCAGACGGGGCTGGAGGCTGGAAATGACATGCTGCTCTACTCCTGGAGTCAAAGCCACACAGTTATTGCTTGGTTCTGAATTTGTATCTTGCTCCATCTTTAGCTTTTGGCTCATGATGACTCCTTGCCTTGGACCACCATCCCTAGGTACAGGTTCCCTCTTCAGTTCCCCCCTGGATCTATGAGCTGGAACTGGGCAGTGAGCAACAGAGCAGCCAATGAAGGACGCTTGTTCCTGAAGGCTTCACAAGGTCAGGCAGCTCTGGATGGGTCTAGGACCTCTTCTTTCTCCGTGTTCAGCCTTGGTCTTCCTATAGTCCCTGAAGTGGAATGCTTAGTGCAGCAGTTTCTAACTATATTCTGTCCCAAGTGTCCATAGATCTCTCTGTTGATCTGTGCTGGAAAAATGAATCACTGAGATCTTTTCTTGGATTTCCCTAGGACTCTGGTTCATTTTCTAGATCTTTGTAGAGGAGTTTTGGGTGAGTGCTAAATCGTACTTCTTCCCCCTGCGCTACCATCTTGGCTCTGTGGAATTAGGGTTAGAAATAGAATTGGTAGTATGGGAAGTGAGACTGATTGAACCTAGGTACTCATTTGCCATTGCTAAAGTGAGAGCCATCATCCTAGCTGACAGAGCTTTGTAGGGTTCCCAGTCAAAAAGAGGTGCCTGTGTCCTGAGGAGAGCTCAGTGAATTATCACCCTGCCCAACTCAGAGGACCCTTGTGAAGAGTCCACCAAGAGCCCTGACTGAGCCAACCCAACAGCAGACTGGCCCTTCCAGGTGACATAGGAGCAGCCCAGCTGAGCTGCTGGCCCACTGGAAATGCTGTACACTGCAAGGAAATGGCTCTCCAAAGAACCATCCAAAGCTGAACAACAGCGGAGCACCTCAAAGGAACCTTTCTGGGTGAAAAAAAGAAAGTCCTGGCATTCTGGAGTTGTGAATGGCCTCGGTTACCTGTGCCTCATCGCCACCCATCTTTAAATTCACATCCACTATTTCCCTTTCCTGGCATCTGGGTGTGTTTGTGGGAGAGCAAGCTCCTGATAATTGGGGGGAAATGCTTGGAACTACTGTCCTTGCTATGCTATTAGAGTAAATGCTTTTGCTTTAGGCCAGACTCCACTGGCTAATTAACGTGACCTCCCTGCCACCCCTTCGGCCCTCTATGATCTAGCATATAGGAGGATAACAACTCACAGGGTTGCTTAAAACTTAAACTTTGGAAATCGTAAAGGCCACCCTTCTGGGGACCTAAACCAGTGCTAGTGTGAGTGAGCCCCAGAATGGGGTGGGTGTCATGTAGGAGGTGGCCCAGATTGAAAAGTCACTTCAACTCTGAGGTTAAATTCCCTCCTCTGTAAAATGAGGAAAACAGGAATAGGGGTAACTACCCCCTCCCTCAACCCCAAGGTTGTGGTGAGGATCAAGTGAGATCACATATGTATAGAGCTTAGAGTCCTTCCAGATGCTGCTCTGTGTCCCAAACTTTCCCCCTTTAGAAGGCATCACTAGTGATCCCATCCCAGATCACAGGCCCTTTTTTGGATAGAAGAGGACCCTCAGATCCAGAGAGGGGGAAATGACTTGGCCATGGTCAATTAGTAGCAAAACCAGGATTCAAACTCGTCCTCAGAGGCCTAGATCCAGGGTTCCTTCATGCTATCTCTCAGTCGACCCTCATTTACTTTTCGAGCGAAGTTCCCCAGAGTCTCTCGGGGCGCCCCCTTTCCCCTCGCCTTTAGACGCTCTTCTGTGTAATTTTAGAGTGAAGTTGTCTGGTCTGTAAAATGAAGGGGTGGGACGAGATGACCTCTGAGATCCCGGTCAGCCCCAGGCTCTGCTTCTAAGTCACTTTCCCCTCTCTAGGCCTTACTTCCCTCTTCTGTAAAATGAAGGAGAGGAGGGAGAATGGGACCGATTGTCCTCTTAAGTCTCTTCCAGCTCTGGTCTCTAGAAAAAAGGCTAGACGAGAGTATGACTCCTCATATGAGAAAGGGGCCTGACTGAGAGCCCCCACCCCGCGGCCTCTTCTTTCTCTGCCTCCTTCCCCATCACCCTTCTCTCCTTGGGATCCCTCTCCTTTCTGGGGCTGACCCTCCCTGGTGTCCCCCGTCCTCCGCCTCCGCCCCTCTCCTCCGGGCTCGGGGAGCAGATGCGCCCCCTCCCCTCCCCTTTCCTCTTCTCCCCTGCCCTCCCCATCCCTGCCCCTCCTGCCGCCGCCGCCGCGGCCGCTGCAGCTGGTGATGCGATTCGCCATTGGATTAAAAATAGCCTGGTCCCCCTCCCTGCTCTCCCGCGCCCCGCCCCACCCGGGCTCTGGCCGCCTCGCGCCGCCCGCCTGCCCCCGTCTGCTCGGCCGCCCGGGCCCCGCAGCTCCGCCGCCCTGCCTCCGCCGCCTCCCGCGTCCGTGCCGGTGCCACCGCCACCGCGGCCTCCGCCTCCTCGTCCTCGTCGTCCTCCTCCCGCGCCCGGCTCCCGCGCCCGGCCCCCGCTCCCGCCCTCCCTCCGGCCCTCCCGCGCGCGCGGAAGCATGCAGCGGGCCGCCTTGTTCGGCAGCCCTGGCGGCGGCCCCGGCGGCGGCAGCGGCCCCGGTCCCGGCCCTGGCCCCGGGAAGATGGCTGCGGGAGACCTCGGGGAGCTGCTGGTCCCTTACATGCCCACCATCCGCGTCCCCAGGTCCGGGGATCGCGTCTACAAGGCGGAGTGCGCCTTCTCCTACGACTCCCCGGTGAGTGCTGGCCAGGCGCGGGCTGGGCGGTGGGGGGAGGTGGATGCGGGGTGAGGGGTGGGGGGCGCTGCCCGAGAGAACCATCGATCCGGTCAGCCAGCCCTCGCTAGGAGTTGGGCTGCGGAGACGTCCCTCCCCCCCCGCCCCTCCTCGATCACTCTCGGGGTTAGTGCACAGGGCACCCACCGCGCTCGTCCACTTTGGGGAGCTTTGGAACTGAGCCCCCGCCCCTCCAAGTCCCCAAGACTCGGGCTGCGGGAGCCAGGGAGCTGCGGCCGGGAGCTCTCCTTCCGAGCCAGCTGTCCTAGAGCCCTTCCTGCAGCTGGCTTTCCAGGCTGAGGTTCGGGGCCCCTCTCTCCCACCTCCGAATCCGGCCCCAACTCGATGAACCCTCTCAAGTGCACGATCTGTCCCCTGCCCGCAAGGCTGCGGGCAGCGGATAGCACCTGGGCATACACAACCAGCACCTTCTTTTTCTGGGACTGTCGATTCTGTTTAGGGATTCCTAGTCTCTGCACCAGCCCTGCAGAGTTCTGTCTGAGTTCTGTGATTTTGGTGGCTCCCCTCCACTCTCCTCCCCTTGCTTCCTTTCTGAATGACAGGAAAAAACAGTGCTTTGGCACAAGTAGTCCTAGGGTTTCGAGTGCATCATGATTACTTCTACTAAACTTCCTTTCCCTCCTTCCCCCCCCCCCCCCCAACGTGAGGTTTGGGGCTTGAAACATACCAACACAAATTTGAAAAACTTTAACCCAAATCTTGGCCTCAGTGGCTAGAGGAGGAAGTGAAAGGTAGATTACAGTTGTCAGGGCCAAGCATGAGTGGTTGGCTGGTGGCTTTCAGATTTCCATGGTTTTTGTGCGTGTGTGAAATTAAAAAAAAAAAAACCAACCCCAAAAAAGCAAACCCAAAAAACAACTGAGTCCCCTTTTGGGGAGTCAGAAAGCACTTCCCAAGTCACTCAGCTGTGTGGCGTTTATCATGTCTTTTTGAGGACTGGTTATTTTTACCCACACCCTTTGGAGCTCATATGTCATCCGGCAGGTCTCCCTCTGGCTGCAGAGGGAGTTATATTGGGGAGGGGGTGGGTTTTTTTTTTTCTTTCCCACACTCAGCACCAAAGCAGTGACAGCCTTTGTCATACAGTCCATCAGGAAGGCAAACCAGCCTGTGGGACACTCCAGAGACTTGTCTTACCATTCTGCTAGACTTTTTTGCTTTCAAAGTCCTTCTTGCTCCATAACCAACTAGGGACATTAGTAGGATCATAGCTTAATGATTTTGTAATCTAACCCTCTTATTTTGCAAATGAGAAAAGTGAGGCCGGAAATAGTTTTTATGGATGCTGACAATTTGTGATGTTATCTATTTTTCTTTTATGCCTTTTGAGTGAGATCACAGGATTATGGCTGATCATAGGGGCTGTCTTTGGACTTTCTTTGTCTCCTCAGTGCTTTGTATAGTGCTTGGCACATAGTAGGTGTTTAATAATTGTTTATTGACTGATGGACTAATAAGCAGGAAGGGACCTAGAAATCATTTAGTCCAGATGTCCTCATTTTACAGGAAAGGAACCAGAGGTAGGAGGCTTGTCACATAGCTAGCAAGGGGCAGAGCCAAGACTCCTCTAGAGTTCTCTGACTTGAAATCACTTTTCTCCTTCCATCCATGTAAGCTGCTCATTTTGTTTTAAACTTGAGAAGTCTTTCTGAGCCTTTCTAGGACCATCCCTTGAAAACTTGATAGTATTTCTTTCTTAATCTTTAGGACTCTATTGACCATGATACCTGAGGCCACTGCCAAGAATGCCATTAGAATTTCCTACTATTAAGAACATATTTTAAAATAACGGATTTTATATCCCATGATTTTGTGTTCCTCGACTTAGCTCCTAAAAGGGTTAAGATGGATGAGGCAAAAGCAAGTGACATGTTATAAAGTATTGAAAAAAACCAGAACTTTCTGAATTTCTTCAAATATTAACTTGGCAGCAAGGCGAATTGGAGGGAGTTGGATTTGGAGGCAGAGGCCCTTGGTTCCAGTCCTAGCACTGCCACTTCTTACCTATGTGGCCTTGGACAAGTCACTTTATTTCTCTGGGACTCACTTTCCTCCTTGTTAAAATGGAGGTTTTGGACTAGATGGTTCCTCAGGCTCTTTCCAGCTCTTAATATTCTGTTTAATCTACCCTCTCTATTTAATGTAAAATAGGATGCTTACAAATGAGGGTTTCTTTCAGTAAACGAGTTAGTTAACAAGCATTTATTATACTCCTGCTTTGTGTCAAGACTGTGTTGAGTGCTTAAGATACAAATAAAGGCAAAAAACTCAGGCTGTTCTCTGAAGTAGCTCACAGTCTAATGGGAGACAACATGCAAACAACCATGTACAAACTATATGTTCAGCATTAATTGGAAATTATTTTAGAGGGAAGGCAGTAGCATTAAAGGAGGGGATTGTGAAAGGCTTCTTGCAGAGGGTAGAAATGTAGCTGAGACTTCAGGGAGTCCAGGAGGTGGAGAGAAAGAGGAGAGAGAGAGAGAGAGAGAGAGAGAGAGAGAGAGAGAGAGAGAGAG